AACTTGCATGTTTAGTTTTATTAGAAACTGCCGAATTGTTTTCTACAGTGGCTGAACCACTTAACATTCCCACCAGCAGTGTATGAGTGATCCAGATCTCTGCATTCTCACCAGCATTTGGTGTTGTCACAACTTTTAATTTTATCTATTCTGGTAGGTGTGTTGTGATACCTCATTGTAGTTTTACTTTGCATATCCCTAATGGATAATGATGAACTCTTTTTCATGTACTTATCTGCCCCCTGTATATCCTCTTCGGTGAAATATTTGGTCAGATCTTTTGCCCATTTTTCTAATTGCATTGTTTTGTTGTTGTTATTGTTTTTCTTACTGTTGACTTTTGAGAGTTTTTTGCATATTTGAGGTACTAGTTTTTGTTGGATATGTGGTTTAAAAATATTTTCTCCCAGTCTGCGGCTTTTCTTTTCATCCTCTTAAATGGTCTTTCACAGAAGCAAAAGTTTTTAATTTTCATGAAGTCCAATTTATCGAAAAAGCATTTTATGGATTGTGTTTTGGGGGTCAAGTTTAAGAACTCTTTTCCCTCGCCTTAGATCCTGAAGATTTCCTCTTAAGTCTTCTGAACATTTACATTTTACATGTAAGTCCATGACTCATTTTGAATTAAGTTTTGTTTAAGGTGTGATATTTAGGTTGAAGATTTTTGTTGTCGGTTTTTTGTTTTTTGCCTTTGAATGCCCACTGTTCCAGCACCATTTGTTGAAAAGGCTACCCTTCCTTCATTGAGTTGCTTTTGCACCTTTGTAAAATATCAGTCGGGCATATTTGTGTGGATCTACTTCTAGGTTCTGTATTCTGTTCCATTGATCTATGTGTCTACCTTTTGCCAATACCACAAAATCTTGATTACTGTAGCTATATAATAACTCTCTAAATTGGGTAGTCTGATTCCTCTTACTTTTTTCTTCCTCTTTTACATATTTGCTTTATCTATCCTAGAGCTGGGGCCTTCCCATGTAAATTGTATTTTATTAAAAAAATTTTTTTTTCCTTTATTGATTTTAGAGAGAGAGGAAGTGAGAGGGAGAGAGAGTGATAACATTGATTGGTCGCCTCCTGCATACTCTCCACTGGGGATTAGGTCCACAATCTGGGCATATGTCCTGACCAGGAATCGACCTCGTGGTGCATGGGTTGATGCTCAACCACTGAGCCACACTGGCCAGACATGTAAATTTTATTTTATTTTTGCCAGCTTTATTGAGATATAATTGACATATAACATTGTATAAGTTTAAGGTATAAATCTGTGATTTTACATATCTATATATTGCAAAATGATTACCACAATAAGGTTAGTGAACACATCTATTACCTCACATAGTTATACTTTTTTATATGTGTGAACTTTTAAAATATACTCTCTTAGCAACTTCCAAATATACAATATATATTGTTAACTATAAGCACTATATTATACATTACATCTCCAAACTTATTCATCATTTATTTCTCTTTCTTTCTTTTCTTTTTTGGTATAATCTTTGTCTGGTTTTGGTATCAGGGTAATATTGACCTCATAAAAAGAGTTGGAAAATGTTCTCACTTCTGTTTTCTGGAAGAGATTGTGTAAAATTTGGTGTTAATTCTTCTTTAAGTGTTTGTTAGAATTCCCATCTGGACTTGGAGATTTTTTTTCAGGAGCTTTTAAATTATAGATTCAATATATTTAATGGTTATAGGATTATTCAGATGATCTATTTCATCTTGGTTGAAATCTGGTAATTTGGTTGATTGAAATTAGTCCATTTCTGCCCTGGCCGGTTTGGCTCAGTGGTTAGAACGTTGGTCTGTGGTCCAGAGAGACCTGGGTTTGGTTCCCGCTAAGGGCACATACTTTGGTTGCAGTTTGTCCCCTGCCCTGGTTGGGTCATGAGGATGGCAACCACTCGATGTGTCCCTTTCATATTGATGATTCTCTCTCTCTCTCTCCCTCCCACTCTATCTGAACAAAATATGGAAACATGTCCTCGGGTGAGGAAAAAAAAAAAAAAAAGAAATTGGTCCATTTCTTTTAAGTTGTCAAATTTCTGAGCATAAAGTTTTTCATAGTATTTCCTTATTATCCTTTTAATGGCTTTAAGAATAAAGTGATATCCTGTTTTATTCCTGATATTGGTTATATTCATCTTTTCTCTTCTTCATCAGTCTTGCTGAAAGTTCATAAACTTTATTAATTTTTAAAAAAGAACTAGCTTCTTATTTCAATGATTTTCTCTATTACCCTCTTGTTTTCAATCTCACTGATGTTTGCTCTTAATCTCTATTATTTCATTTCTTCAGCTTGTGGGTTTATTTTGCTTTCCTTTTTCTAGTTTCTTGAAGTAGGAGCTTAGATTATTGATTTGAAGCTTTCTCTCTCTCTTTTTTCAATCCTCACCGAAGGACATTTTTCCATTGATTTTCTTTTTCTTTTTTTAGTCCTCACCTGAAGATATTTTTGCATTTATCTTCAGATAGAGTGGGAGGAAGAGAGACAGAGAGAGAAACATCGATGTGAGAGAGACACATTGAGTGGTTGCCATCCACATGACCCCAACCAGGGCCAGGGACAAACTGCAACCAAGGTACATGCCTTTAGCGGGAACCAAACCCAGGACTCTCTGGTCCACGGACCAATGCTCTAACCGCTGAGCCAAACCTGCCAGGGCACCATTGATTTTCATATAGAGTGGGAGAGAGAGAGAGACAGTGAGACAGAGAGAGAGAGAGACAGAGAAACGTCAATGTGAGAGATACACATCAATTGGTTGCCTCCCACCTGACCCAACCAGGGCCTTGCCCTTGACCAGGAATTGAACCTGTGACTCTTTGGTCTGCAGGTGGATGCTCTAACTGCTGAACCAAACTGTCCAGGGCTGAATCTTTTTCTATTAATATAAACATTTAGCACTTTAATTTTTCTTTTCATCACTGATTTATTTGCATCCCACCAATTTGGATATGTTGTACTTTAATTCAGATCAACGTACTAAAAAAATTTCCTTTGGGACCTCTTTGACAATGGATTATTATTATTATTTTTTAAATATGTTTTTATTGATTTTAGAGAGAGAGGAAGGGACAGGGAGAGAGGCTAGAAACATCGATGAGAGAGAAACATTGATTGGCTGCCTTCTACACCCCCTTCCCCACTGGGGATCAAGCCCTTAACCTGGGCATGTGCCCTGACTAGCAATTGAATTGGGACTTCTCAGTCCATGGGACGATGCTCAATCCACTGAGCCACACGACTGGACAACAATGGATTATTGAGATGTGTGTTTAGCATGTAAATTTGAGAGATTTTCATGTTGTCTTTCCATTATTGATTTCTAGTTTGATCCCATTATGGTCAGAGAACATACTTTGTATGCATGATTTCAATTTTTAAAAATTTAATTGAATTTATTGGAGTGACATTGATTAATAGAATTATATAGGTTTCAGGTGTACAATTCTGTAATACATCATCTATATATTATATTGTATGTTCGCCATCCAAAGTCAAGTCTCTTTCCATCACCGTTTATCCTCCATTTGTTCTCTTTTACTTCCCCCTATCTCCCTTTCCCTCTTGTAATCACCATACCATTGTCTGTGTCAATTGTTTTAAATTAGTTGAGGTTTGTTTTATGGCCCAGGATATGGTTTGTCTTGATGAACATTCTATGAATTTTTAAAAATTTATCCCTGTTCTTGAAAGTATTACAGATGTCCCCCTTTCCCCCTCATTGACCCCCTCCTCTCCACTCCCACCTTCCCCACACTGTGTCCATTGGTTATGCATATATGCATATAAGTTCTTTAGTTATCTCTTCTTGCACACCTTCCTTCCCTCTGAGGTTCGTCAGTCTAACAACCAATTTGTACTTCTTTTTTTTTTTTTTTTATCCTCACCCAAGGACATTTATCTTCAGATAGAGCAGGAGGGAGGTAGGGAGGAAGAGAGAGAGAGAAACATTGATGTGAGAGATACACATCGCGTGGTTGCCACCCACGTGATCCCAACCGGGTCCGGGGACAATCTGCAACCGAGGTACGTGCCTTTTTTTTTTTTTTTTTTATCCTCACCCGAGGATATTTTTCCATTTTTTGTACAGATAGAGTGGGAGGGAGAGAGAGGAAGGGAGAGAGAGAGAGAAACATCGACGTGAAGGGACACATCGAGTGGCTGCCACCCACACGACCAACCAGGGCCGGGGACAAACTGCAACCGAAGTACGTGCCCTTAGCGGGAACCGAACCCGGGTTTCTCCGGACCGCAGGCTGACGCTCTAACCGCTGAGCCAAACTGGCCAGGGCCGAGGTACGTGCCTTTAACGGGAACTGAACCCAGGACTCCCTGGTCTGCGGGCCGACGCTCTAACCGCTGAGCCAAACTGTCCAGGGCTGTAATGTATCTCTGTGTCTCTAGCAGGAAAAATTATTACCCCCATATAAAGATGAGAAAACTGAGGTGCAAAAGAACCTAAAACTAGGTCTAAAAATAAGGGAAATAAAAAATTGCCACTAGGTACGCCCTATGGTAATAACACTTCCAGGCAAGATCCACTGATGGTTGCTAAAATTAGTGGGAGAAAATTTAATGGGAAACAAAATCTCAAAGTATCTCCCCAGCATATTTGTTAATTATAAAGGAAAAATATAAAAGTGGAGAAACCTGGCAGACACCACTTTGACCAAGGGCTCAAGGTTAAGATCACTAATAGTAACCCTACTGTGTTATGTACCTCCTGACGTGTTGCACTGAGTAGGGCACAAGATGGCTTCTCACATCAGTGTAATCATGATAAAACCCCAGACAAACCCAAACTGAGACAGTCTGTAGAATCCCACAGAGCTATATGAACCAGAACCCAGAGCTTATATCCTTTTCACTCTAATCAGGAGAGTTATGGATGCCACAGATATGGGGGTGCTTCCTTTCTGAGGTGGGGGGCCCATTGCTGACTGGATAGGCACCCGCCTCACTGCTTGGGACTCACTACTTCAGCGTGCTCTGTTACTGGAATGCACATCTCCTTGCCTGAGGCTTTCTCCGAAGCATGTAAGTGGTTCTGTTTGTGCTGGCCAGAGACCACCCCCAGGCAGCCCTGGATCAACGACTGATGGGAGTAGATATATAAGCATTCCAGCTCCCTTTCCCCCTAGGGGGAGGGGGGAATGGGGGTAACACTGGGGCATGCTCTACATCAGTTCTGAGTTCCTCTGTGGAATCGAGCTCTAGCTGCCTATACTGGTAACTTGTTAACAATGCACTTTTATTGGCTGCCTTCCCTTCCTTGTCTTACTTCCCCCTCCCCTACCGGTGTTTCCTGGCATCACTTCTTAATTAAACTACTTGCATCCAGTTTCTTGTTTCAGAGTCTGCTTCTGGCTGGGGAGGACCTAAACTATGGCAACTGTTAAAGGGCATCATTATCCTTCAGTCACAGACAGACTGCAACCAGCAAAGGTATTATGCATGGGCAGCACCAAACAGGGCTGCCATGAACTACTCGACTGGCGTTGTATAGATCAATCCCTGTATTATTTTCCTATTACTGCTGTTGCTTAAAACAGATGTGTCACCTCGCAGTTTTGGAGGTCAGAAGTCTCAAATGGGATTCACTGTGCCAAAACCTAGGGGTTGGCAGCTCTGTGTTCCTTCTGGAGGTTTTGTCTAGGAGAGGACCTTTTCCTTGCCTTTTCAACTTCTCGAGGTTTCTTGTATTCCTTGGCTTGTAGCCCCTTTCTCCATCTTCAAATTTAGAGTGTAACACCTTTACATTTCTCTCTTTCTCCACTGTTCCTATCATTACATCCTCTCTGACCCTCCTGCCTCCCTCTTTCCTTTACCAGGACCCTTGTGGCTCTATCAGACCAACCTGGATAATCCATGATAATCTCCCCAACTCAAAATCCTTAATTTAAAAAAATTTTTTTAGCCCTGGCCGGTTTGGCTCAGCGGTTAGAGCGTCGGCCTGCGGTCCGGAGAGACCCGGGTTCGGTTCCCGCTAAGGGCATGTACTTCGGTTGCAGTTTGTCCCCGGCCCTGGTTGGTCGTGCGGGTGGCAGCCACTCGATGTGTCCCTTCACGTCGATGTTTCTCTCTCTCTCTCCCTCCTATTCTATCTGTACAAAAAATGGAAAAATATCCTCGGGTGAGGATTAAAAAAAAAAAAAATTTTTTTTAAATTAATTTTTAGAAAAAGAGGAACGCAGGGGGAGAAAGAGAAACATTGATGTGAGAGGAAAACATTGATTGGCTGCCTCCTGCACGCCCCCTACCAGGGATTGAGCCCGTAACCTGAATGTGTCCTGACTAGGAATTGAACTGGCAATGTCTTGGTGCACAGGATGACGCCCATCCAACTGAGCCACGCTGACCTGGACTCAAAATCCTTAATTTAGTCTCATCACAGAGACCCTTATGCCACATAAGGTAACATATTCACAGGTTCTGAGGATTAGGATGTGGACTTCTTGGGTGGGAGGACATTATTTTGCTTACCACAGTGTCCACAGTTAAGGGTACAGAATAAAGGGGCTGTGAGTTGGCAACACTGGCCCAGAGTAAGTCACCACTGGGGGAAGGTGACAAAAGGGACTATGATATAGAATGAAGAAATACACAGAGGAAGACATATTTCAGTGGAGATATATGTATATATATGCTTAAATATATGTAATGTTATATATATGAAGTGTGCATGTATAGTGTATGTGTATGTGTGTGTGTATATGTGTATGTGTGTGTGTTTATGTGTGCCTATGTGTGTGTATCTGGGGGAGGGAGGTGCAGGAAGTGAGAGGAGGATGATAAAAACAGGGGCCTGGGAGGAACAAGAACAATAAGGAGACAGGTAGGGTAGGTCTACTTCTGAGGAAGTGGCCCTGTCTGAGGTGGGACTGCAGAGGCAGGGAGAGGGTGGAGCCCATGGATTTTACAGAGAGAATTTTTAAAGGCTGCCAAGAATGCACATGTGATAAAAATAGAGGAAGGGAGTGTTGCCCGGAGCTCCAGGCCAGCCAGAGGGTGGGTGGAGCCTTCTCACGGTGTCCAGGACGGTGGGGAGAGAGGAGGAGGCAGGGCTCCGAGACCAGAGAGGGGAAAAAGAAAGAGAAACTAGGTTTGTTATGGGAAACGGGGCTATCGTTTTATACTTGGAAGTGCCTGCGTGTGATGAGTGTAAGCATGGGGTTTGGTAGCAGGTTGGGGAAGAATTATAAATTTGCAACTGCGGTAAAGCCTTTTGTTCCTGTTAAAAATTCTCTGTGTGTAGCAAGTGAGATTCATCCATGAATTCATGTAATAAACACTGAGCTGCTGCCAGACACGAGGCAAAGTTCTCTGCACTGGAGATGCAAACTGCGGGCAAACAAGGGGAGTGAATGGAGTCAGGGAATCAGATGTGATAGAAATAGAATGATAGGGATGTGAAGGGGCCAGAGGGTGAGTGGATGAGGCGGAAAAGACTTTTGTTGGCAGGGGATAATGTGAGGTTTTCAGTTACTGTCACCTGCTGGGGGAGGCTTGCCCGCTCTCGCCCTCCAGCCCACCGGGCCAGGGGAGCAGCTCTGAAGCATGTTCCCCACTCTTCTCCTCCTTGGAGCCCTTCTTTTTTTTCTTCCCTCCTCCTCTTCTGTTCCCCATCTCCTTGCCCATAAACCACCTCTCATGTCTCTCAAGGAACTTGGGAGGACCGAGGCTGGAAGAGACAGTGATGTGGCTTCCTTCTATTGCTTCCATCTTATCTTTCTACCCTTTGGATCCTTCCATAGTCATCGGGACTGACAAATAGTACTTTCTTGTGCTCCACCCAAACCTCTACAGAAAAGTCAGTGCCTTAGACAGTGGTCATCCCCACAGAAAGACACACCTTTGGGAGACAGCATGGCCTTGCTGACGGCGTGATTTCACACTTCAAGCTTCCAGAACGAAGGTGCATGGGGAAGGAAGGAAGAAGCAGTGAAGGAGACAGAGGTCAGAGAGAATCAGAGAAAACCGAGGAGCCCTCACTCAGTGAGCTGGAGGAAGAAATGGGGGGTGGACAGCTGTCTTGTGGACTGCTGCACAGTGGCCACTGTCCCACTCTGCACCCAGCCTGCTGCCTGGGTCTGGCATTCCAGGACAGAGAGAATAGATTCCGATTTCATTTGGTGGGTTTTGTCTTAGCCCTGGCCTCTGAGCAGTAGGAGCTGAAAGACCTTATCCCCTCCAGTCCATCTGTCTAGTTCTTCATTTGGCCTACCCCTTCTCTCTTTTGCTCCCCCCCCCCACTGCCTCCTCCTCTCTCTTCTCCAGCTCCCCTCCTCCTGAGGTCCCCACTGCAAGGAGGACCGACCTGCCCATGGAGAGGCCCAGGTGGAAAGGCAGCCTGGAGCAGAGGAAGCTCTGGGGAGCAAGAGTGGTGCAGGGCAGAGGGAGCTCCTCTTTGCTTCCTGCTTTGGCCTGAATAGTTCCCCTGAGTCTTTATGAAGGGCATGCAGCCAAAGGCCCTGGGAGAAGGTAGATTCATATCCTTGTAAATTATGTGGTTATGAGGGCGGGAATTTCACATGTGGCTTTTTGCACAATCAGGTTGTCAGGTAGTTAGTCCATTAGAGGCTCATAAAGTCTTCAGCTGCTCTGACTCACAGCATGAGGCAGCAGGGATGGAGCTCTGAGGAGGAACCTGCCTGTGTGGTGTCAGGTGGAGACACTCTGGGGCCTGAGTGTCACAGAATCCTGGGCTTTACAGTAAGTCTGAGTTCAAGTCTTGATCCCACCCCCTTGCCTGCTGTGTGATCTTGGGCAAGTAGCTAACCCGCCCTGAGCTTTTGTTTTCACGTTAGGGCAATGGTTTGAAGGTGGAGGGTTGGCCCGGGGCAGTGCAGCTACTGCTCTGCCAGGTCCCTGAGGAGGGTGATACATGGGTGTGGCCGCCGGTTTCCAGAGTCTAATCCTTAGATTTCCCTCAGCAGTTTAGTGGCTGGCACTTTGGCAAACAGTTGGACAGTATCTAGTGAACTCCCTGTATCTGTTTCCTAGGACTGTCATAACCAAGTACAGTCAAACCTCAGTTCTTGAACGTCTCCATTTCGAACAATTCGGTTCTTAACCAAGTTGTTCACAGAGAAATTTTAAACAATTGGCTCACACAATTTTGGAAGCTGATAAGTACTTAATCTGAAGGGTGAGCCACAACCAGGCTGGAGACTCAAGGAAGGGCTTATGTTACAGTTCAAGTCCAAAGGTCATTTGCGTGCAGAATTTTCTTTTGCTTGGGGGAGGTCAGGTTCTTTCCCTAGTCAGGCCTTCAGCGGACTGAATGAGGCCCACCCACAGCATAGAGAACAGTCTGCTTTACCCAAAGTCCACTGATTTGAATATACTCTAATCCCAAAACACCAGCAATATCCCGAATAATGTTTGATCAAATGTCTGGGCACCCATGGCCCAGCCAAGCTGACACACAAAATTGACCTCCTCACTAAACTTACTTTAACCAGCAATAGGAATGGTAGCTTCCCATCACCGAGGAGTTACCTTGTGTTGAGGGCCTTATGCTTACTTCCCAGTCTACCTGTGTGGTAAGTTTTATGCTCATTTTGTAACAGGATAGTAAGAAACTGGGAAAATTCTTGGGCAAGTAGAAACTGAGACAAGAAAATTAAATAGGGCCAAACAGTTTGGGCAGTTTGCCACCAGTTTGCAGAAAGACCTTATCTTCCCGGACCAGTTTACAGAGGAGTCAACTGAATCTTGCCCAGTGTAATAGCTGATGTCAGTGCCCTACCTGGGTCTCTTTCCCCACGTGCTGCAGTGTGGTGGCTGAAAGCAGATGCCCTTGACCAGCACCTTCTGGTAACTTATTTCCTCCTCTCCTACCCCTCATCCCCTATTCCCCGGGAGTAGGCAATGACTGATTGATACAGGGGGATAAGAGCCTGGCCTGCTAACCTCAAGGGAGATCAGCTCTGGACTATTCAGCCCGCAGAACTCCAAGAGGGATCAGGCTAAGGTTAGATTTCACTGAGACCCCTGTCTTTGGTGAGCATCTTCCCCAGCCCTGCCCTGCTTCCTTCCCTCCCTTCTCCTGAGATAATTTCCTCAGTAAATCGTGTGCGCGTGAATCCCCATCTCTGATTCTAGAAAATGTAATCTAAGACATTCATGAGTGAGGAATTTAAAGCCAGGTGTAGCTGACTTCAAGGCCAGCCCAATGACCCCCTGCATCATCCATGGCTTGGTGGCTTTGTCACCTTTACCCTCCATGTGTACCCTTTGCTGCTGGCTCATTCCACAAAACCAGGCACCGGCAACAGACTGCCCAGTTAGGGATCTCCGCGGGGCAGGGAGGGGCAAGGTAAAGTCTGTGCTTGCAGGTCTGAGAGTCTCATCCCCCGGGCTTCTCAGAGCAGAGAGTTGCTGGCTTTCAGGAGCAGGAAGCCAATGTGCTGCAACAGGAATGTATTCAGAGTCCTGAGCGG